ACTTCCCGACCAAAAGCATACAGTCATTAGAGGAGATCTTCTCATTAAATGTCAATTAAAATCGTAAATATTTGTCTCATTTTGAATAGTAATTTCATTGGCCATCAAATTAATATGCATTTCCATTCATATAATATGTATCGTATCTAATGTTTTAATTATTTTGTTTAATAAAATTAATTGTATTTTCAATGATAACATTTTGTATTTATTTATTTATTTACATAATTATTCTGAATTAATTTGTTATTCAATCATCTATATAAAATTTATATTATAAATTGATATGTCATTTGTAACATTGATTATTAATGGTATAATAAATACATCCTTGGTCATTGTTTGATTGTCAACACAGATTAATTGATCATATGTTTCAAGTAAAAACTTTTGACAAATATTTTCATTGATGTTTTTAATTTAAAAAAATGGAATTTTACTTTACTTTTAATTATTTATTGTAATTTTGATAATAAAAAATCTAGTTTATGAAAAATATTTGGTATTTCATTACACTTTGAATGGTATTACTATTTATATCACTATAAGTATTAACGGAAATGTCTGTAATTATTAATTTCATTATAAATAATAAAAAATAATTAAAAAACATAAATTATTTCAATTACTGTTAATTCAATGTTTTGCTAAAAACTATGTTAATCTCGTTTAGCGGTTAAGTATTGTCTGATATATTGGTTGACAATCACCGGCTGATCCATTTGTGTCCAATGGGAACAGTTCTCGATGTACTGCAGTGTCATGTCATTGACATACCGGCGCGAGGTGTCAGCCAATTGTGGCACTAATGCTATATCACGTTTGCCTAATCAACAAAAACAATTAATCATGTTTGTTTACAAAAAACATGTCAAATTTTAGCTCAATTAAAAATCTCACCCCAAATAACAAGTGTGGGAACAGTAATCTGTAAAGAGCGGGGCTTTTCCGACGGGTATTTACGCATAACCGCGCGGTAATAATTCAATGGACACGTGAGGCTATTATACTTTGAA